TTTTAAAACTTCTCTCAGCAGTGATTTTTGGGCACCTGGGTGTCTCAGTTGGTTAAGCATCTGACTTTTGATTTTGGCTCAGGTCATGATCTTGCAGTTCCTGGTATCAAGCCCCAACTCGGGCTCTGTGCTCAGTGCAGAGCCTGCTTGGGATTCTCTCTCTCTTCCTCTCTCTCTGTCCCTCTCCTACTTGCATTTTCTCTCTCTCCCTCCACCTCTAAATGAATAAATAAATAAATAAATAAATAAATAAATAAATAAATAAAGTTTATTAAAAAATTAAAAACAATAAAATTTCTCTCAGCAGTGTTTTTTGATTTTAAGTGTAAAGATCTTATGCATACTTTGTTCATATTTTTGGGTGCTACTACAAATAGTATTTTTAATTACAATTTTAATTGTTCATTGGGATTATATGGAAATAAAATTTTAAAATCTTGACCATGTACCCTGTTAAACTCATTTCCAGTTGTAATAATGTTTTTGTAGATTCTTTAGGACTTTCTGAGATGACTATGACAATGGCATTTAAAAACAGTTTTACATATTCTTATTCAGCCTGTATGCCTTTTTTTTTTTTTCTGTATGCCTTTTATTTTGGTTCCTTATTACATCAGCTGGAATCTCCAGTACAGTATTAAGTGAGGTGGCAAGGGAGGACAGCCTTGCTTTGTTTCAGATCTTAGATGGAAAGCATTTAGTCTTTTCACTATTAGTATTAATGTTATTAGGTTGAGGAAGTCCCCTTCCTTCCATTCCTAATTGGCTAAGATATATTATCTTGAGTAGATATTGAATTTTTTCAAGTTTTTTTTTTTTTTTTTTTGCATCTGTTGAAATTATTATGTTTTTTCTGGTCATATGGTGAATTATATTGATTAGTTTCCAGATGTTTTAGCAGCTTGCATTTGTGGGATAAATCTCTCTTGTTCATGATCTATGATCTTTTTAATATATTGCTAGACTTGCTAATACTTTGTTAAGGATTTTTGTATCTGTTTATGGGAGATATTGGTCTGTAGTTTTCTCTGTCTTTTCCTGTACTGTCTCTGTCATTTTTTACATCACTGTAATTAATGCTAACATGATGAAATAAGTTGTCAAGTGCTCTCTCTTCTTGTATATTGAGTTGTGTAGAGTTAATATTATTTCTTCTTCTGATATTTGGGAGAATTCACCAATGAAGGCATCTGGACATGAAGGGTGTGTGTGTGTGTGTGTGTGTGTGTGTACATGCATGTATGTACATGTGTGTTGAAAGATTCTTTAACTATGAATTCAAATTTAAATAATATAGAGTCATTCAAATTATCTATTCCTTCTTGCAAGAGCTTTGATAGTTTGAGTCCTTCAAGGTATCCATCTCATTTACGTTATGTTTATTTGTATAAAGTTATTCATATTACTATTTTTTAATGTGTGTAGTTCTGTAGTCTTTATTCTTGATATTGGTAAGTTATGTCTGCTTTCTTTTTTTATGAATTTAGGTCAAGATTGGTCAGTTTTACTGATCATTTCAAAGAACTAGCTGTTGATTTCATTGGTTTTCTCTATTCTTTATTTACTAGTTCTTATTTTTATCATTTCCATCCTTCTATTTACTTTAGGTGTAATTTACTCTACTTTCCCTAGGTTCTTAATGTGGGAAGCTGGGATTGTTGATTTTAGACCTTCCTTCTTTTCTAATTAAAACACTTAAAGCTAGAAATTTCCCTCTAAGTACTGCTATAGCTACATCTCACAAGTTTTGATGTTATATTTTTATCTTATTTATTTATATTTTCCTTTCTAAATCTCAGAGAGGGAGAGAGAGAATCCCAAACAGGCTTCCCACTGTCAGTGCAGAGCCCGATGCAGGGATTGAACTCATGAATCATAAAATCATGACCTGAACTGATGTTGGATGCTTAATCAACTGAGCCGCCCAGGCACTCCTTTTTGTTTTTATTCATTTCAAAATATTTCCTAATTTACTTTGTGGTTTCTTCTTTAAATCATAGTTTATTTAAAAGAATGTTGATTAATTTCTAAATATTTGGAGATTTTCCAGGTATCTTTCTGTATTGATATCCAATTTAATTCTGTTGTGGTCAGAAGAACCTACTCTGTATGATTTCAAAACAGTTAAATTTATTGAGGTTTGTTTTAGCCCCCTGAATATGATCCATCTTGGTTGATATTCTATTTACATTTAAAAAGACTGCATTTTGCTGTTAAGTGAAGTGTTTTATAAATGTCAGGTCAAATTCACTGATAATGTTTTTCAAGTATTTTCTATTTTTGCTGATTTTGTTTATGTGTTTCTCTCAACTAGTGAGTGAGGAAATTCCAATTATAATTGTGGCTTTCACTTTTTCTCCTTTTAGTTCTATCAATTTTTGCTTTATTATTTCAGAACTCTATTATTAGTAATATTTAAGATTGTTATGGTTCTTCATTAATTTCCAACTCTTTATTATGAAGGTACAGAATTTTAGTTTAATTCATTTTTATCTAAGCATTTTTAAAAGTCTTGCTGTTGTCTTCTGGCTTGCATAATTTCAGAAGCAAAGTTTGCAGTTTTTCATACCTTTGTGCCTGTGTCTTTTTTCTTTGGCTACTTTTTAAGATTTTCCCTTCATCCTCTTTTGAACATGATTATGATTATATGTTAGTGTTTTTTCTCAGCAAATAAGTTTCTTCTCTTTCTAGAGGTATTGCTTAGGGTACGAGCAGAATCAACAGATTTCAGATATTTTTGGTTTCTTATAAAGTTCCTACACATTGATATCTACTGCCAAGGAACCACCCTGATTCATGAGAGTTTACAGTGCTTGACTGCAAGCTTGTGAAGGCTTTTGGATAGTACCATTCATGATTCTACCAACACAGAAAGAATAGTGAGGTTTTATTGCTTGGTATGGTTAGGGCAATTCCCCAGATTCCCTATCAAGTTGAGTCCTGTTACATATAGCACAAATTCTTATTTTGATGTGACTTGAAGTTAGTATGAAGAATTTTGGCATCTTTTGCATGAACTAATGTATTTTTTAAAATCCTAAAACCTGTAACTATTCCAGTTAAATGATGTTGATGATGATAGTAATAAAAAGAAGAATTGCAGTAATATTTTATATACTTTACAGCTTATAAATAATTTCACATACATTTTCTCATTTGGTTTTATGATTATTTGTACTGAGAAGCTTTTATGGACTCACTCAAATCAATAAACATTGCTACTTTTGAAGAAAAAGTATTTTATAGCCAACCATTTTTAAAAGATTAAAAAAAAACCCCACCCTGCTTAAAAGCCCTAATACTTACTGTCATTTAATTACACAGAAATTGTTAGTTTCAGTACTCTGGTTTCTCTTCAAATCGAACAAATCTTTCGCCTTTTACTAAAGAAATTGTTAGTTTCAAATGAAATCAAGGATGTATAAAAGATGATAAAATTAGAATAGAATGCCCCACCTTTGTTTTGTGGTCTTGCTTCTCTTACATTAGAAGTGGATTTTCTTTGGGGTGCCTGGGTGGCTCATTTGGTTACACGTCCGACTTTGGCTCAGGTCATGATCTCACAGTTCGTGAGTTCAAGCCTCACGTTGGACCCTGTGCTGACAGCTCAGAGCCTAGAGCCTGCCTCAGATTCTGTGTCTTCCTCTCTCAGCCCCTCCCCTGCCCACACTTTGTTTCTCTCTCTCAAAAATAAATAAGCATTAAAAAATTTTTTTAATAAAAAAAAGTGGATTTCTTTCATTTTTTTATTTAAAAAAATTTTTTAATGTTTATTTTAAAAAAATCTTTTTAATGTTTATTTATACTTGATACAGAGAGAGACAGAACATGAACGGGAGAGGGTCAGACAGAGAGGGAGACACAGAATCTGAAGCAGGCTCCAGGCTCTGTGCTGTCAGCACAGAGCCCAACGCGGGGCTCCAACTCACAGACCGTGAGATCATGACCTGAGCCGAAGTCGACTGAGCCACCCAGGAGTCCCGATTTCTTTCATTTTAAAAGGATAAACTAATGTACGTATATTGTGCCAAGATATTTTATAGTAAATATTAGCTGTGAAGGGCATCACTAGCAGGATTAACACTGATCATTTCTTCAGTAGAAAAGAATAGTCTTTACTTTTTTAAATTTTTTTAAAGTTTTTATTCATTTATTTTGAGAGAGACAGAGACAGCATGAGTGAGGGAAGGGCAGCTAGAGGAGAGAGAGAATCCCAAGTAGGCTCTGCACTGCCAGCAGAGAGCCTGACGTGGGGCTCAAACCCATGAAGCCGTGAGATCATGACCTGAGCTGAAACCAAGAGTTGGATGCTTAACCAACTGAGCCACCCAGGTGCCCCAAAAAGAATAGTCTTTAAATGCCAATTTAAACTAAATTCGTATGTGGTATCTATGAAAAAACTATCAATTGAGAGCACCCATTAATAAAAACAGACTTCAAAGCATATATATAGTCATATTTGTCATGGCTATTTGTACTTATCCCCACCCACACCAAAGTATGTGGGGCTGAAGAGTAAAGGCAACTTAGAACTAATAAAGCTGGTCAGTAAGAATTGTGTTCACATCAAAAGCCTGTCTGTAAATGTATATAACAGAGGCCTAAACAACTGGTGCGAAAAATAAGGTTAGCTATTGTGGTCTACCTAAAAGTGAATAAACAAGAGAAGAATCTTTAGGTAGACCGCAAAAGCTAACCCTATTTTCCCCATCTGTTGTTTAGGCCTCTGCTGTATATGTTTAAAGACAGGCTTTTGATGTGAACATAGTTTGATTATGTGGAGTATAAATTAATTAATATATGCTGAATGACAGGCATAAGATAGATGGAGTTGGTAGCTGGTAGCCACAAAATCCTATTATTCTTGCCCCCCTAAATCCCACATTTCTAGCACTTATGCAGGAAATGATTATTTTTCCTTTATGGAAATGTTAACTCTATGTTTGTTAATCTACTTGTTATTTTCAAAAGAATCACTTGGTTTTACTTTTTTGTGACAGGTATCTTCACACGAGGACAGCTGGGCCTGATAGACATCATATTCCAATACATTCACTGTGATGAGATATATGAGGCAATAAATATCCTGAGCAGTATGAACTGGGACACTCTGGGCCACCAGTGCTTTATCAGCATGAGTGCCATTGTAAACCATCTTCTTAGACAAAAGCTCACTCCAGAGAGAGAAGGTCAGACATGGAATATATTTCATAAATGGATTTTGTATATATATGAAGTACATTTTATTGAGTCCGCTATGTTTTGAGGATTTTTTTGAATTGTATTATCAGAGATTAAAAGACAAATGTTAATGCCCTATTAAAACTGACAAGATCAGATATCAAATAATTATCCATATGGTACTTCGCGTGTAGTATTTGTCAACATAAAGAAGAACTTTTTTGTGTATACCTGTGTTGGAACTCACAATGCAGTCATTGTACATTTCAGTCTAAGTTCATGTGTGTAATATGCTCAGATCTTAAACTTTAATTGAGAATTCCATGTACTCTGTAGGGGCTGGTAGACAGAGGGCCCCAAATAAAGGTCCTTATTCTTCCTTCATTTTAGACATCAGTATTTTTCTCTCATACTCCAAGTCTTTTGTCTAGATGGTAGTCCTTACCACTGATTTGTGTGTGTGTGTGTGTGTGTGTGTGTGTGTGTGTGTGTGTGTGAGAGAGAGAGAGAGAGAGAGAGAGAGAATGAGAGAGAATATGAGAGAATTGTGGCCCAGGCTGCTACTCCTTGTTTTCATTTTTACTGGTAGTTCCGATGCCTCTCTGCCTACTTGGATTCCTCTGCTTTCCTTCAGTAAGTAATTATGCCCATAGGATCTCAGATAAGACATTGTTTTTTAAGTGAGCTCTGTGCACAGCATGGAGCTTGAACTCACCACCCCAAGATCAAGAGTTGCCTGCTCTACTGACTTGAGCCAGCCAGGCGCCCCTCAGATAAGACACTTTTTAAAAAAAGAGAAAAATAATGTGCACATACAGTAATGAAATTCATTTTTGTATTTTCCAATTATCCAGTGTATGTTATTTTTATTATGAGTTATTAATATAAAATGCACCTAAACATTCTTGCACTTGTGTCTTTATTTCAAATCTTTGCAAGAAGCATTGACATTAATGATGGGAAGTCCTGGACAATGAAAAAATGTCCCTAGGTAATTTACAAGGTAGAGAAAGCAGGAAATATGTCAAAAGGTCTTCACTGGAGAGCTTTTTCCCTACTATTTTCTTTGAATGTTTATAGATTTTCTTCTTCCATTTCATTATGTTTCCAAAGTAACCAAATTGTGTAGATAAAATTCTGTACCTAACCTTCATTTTAGTAATTTTAAAGAACAGGTTCCTTCAGGAAGTTCACATCATGGGACTTGGCGCAACTTTTAGGAGGCCCACAATAAATATTTATTTAATGTTAATTGAATGTGCTCTTTGGAGGTAGTCTAACCCATCTCTGGAGGGTCCAGTATTTCTACAGTGAGAAAATGCCTAGCACAATGCTTGGCCTACCATAGGTATTTAATGAATATTAGTCAAAAATAAAAAGAAGAGTATAACTTTAAATTAGGTTACTAGATATTACTGTAATATTTCTGCCTACAGAGTTATCTCAAGTACTTATTTCTTAGTATTGGTACACTCTCAGAGATTAGGTACATAGTAGGGGGTTAAAAAGCAGAATATGTAAGGAAAGCCTGTTATAGTATACACAATATGTGTAAGAGATGCTAAATTTACAGTTGAAGAATTGTAGAGAAGATAAAAATATTGACTGTCACTCAACGACACTGAGAAATTGCTAGCACCTTGGTGAATTTGTGTTGTAAGATTCCAGTGTTGTAAGAAAGGTTATTAGGGAATTCACAAATGGGCATTATCAGATTCTTGCTTTAATAAAGGATATTTTCAAGGCACCGTGTTGGGAAGATAGGGAAATGAAAAGCTTGTATGATACTAGACTATTAAAATAAAAGACTTGCATGATGCTGGATTATCAGAATATGCACATTTTAAGTAGGTATATGCATTTCCCCCCAAGTAACTGCAAAATACATTTCTAAAACATTCAGAATTCTTCTCTGTTGAGATTTATTCTGTCCGAATCTAACAAACTTGACATGGTAATTTGTTTTCCTTTTATTAGTGGAACCCAGTGAGTTCTTTCATTTGTGCTGTGTTGTGGTTATCTTTGAGATCTTCATTTCTGCCTTAAACATCAAGCTGGGCTATCTAATGAATCTGTAACTGTGCTGGGAGTTATGAGTGTTCCATATAGGTTTGAACATTGCAGAAGTACGAAACATGCTGTCAAGAAAACAAGCAATGGCAAGAGGCTCTGGCTTGTTTTCACAATAGCATTGCTGTATTCAATTTTAATCTAAATTGACTGCTGCTTTGAAAGAAAATACCTCTGAAGTTCATCTTACTTTACTGTCTAGATTTGAGATTAAAAAAAAGAAATTACTAACAGCTTAGCCAAGTCCATAGCAATTACTCTGATGAGGTATTTAATACTTTCAAACCCAAATATACCTAAAACTAGAGTTTTGCTAAATAAGGAATTTTTTATTCACTCTAGCACTTAGTGGCATAAAAATCAATGGAGTTTTACTGTAAGCTGAAGTTTTCTCATACAGTGCTCACCATTATTGTAATTATATAACTTCCAGGTGTTTGGGGGAGAAAACACAACCCCAGAGGCATGGCTTGGTAAAATTATGAAGTAGGCAAAATGTGCCTTTTTCTCCCAGTCGCTAGCCCTCTGGTTTATCAAAACTTGCTCTCCAATCCTTTTTCCCTAGGAAGGTGTCAGTTGACCAAGAGCAGATTAGCATGACATCCCTCCCAGGGGTGTTAGCTTTCACACTTGGACAAAACCAACAATCTTGTTTATTAGAATGAGATGTATGGAAGGTATGGGGACTTTCACTGTTTCTTTAAAATTGTCTTAGAAGGATGTTATTACTTCAGTAGGGCTGTATTTATTTTTAAATGTTTATTTAAAACATTCCTAATACTTCTTTCAATCCCCAGTGCAAAAAGGTTAGTTTTCTCCTTTTAGGTAAAGAGTAAATGTTCAGCACACTGTGAGTTGATTCTACTGGAAATACTAGTTCAAACTGTGTTACTTTGATGAGTCACTGTTTTAATTACCCATTTGTGGTGAGAGGTTGGTTCATTATGGATTTCTTCAGTTTTGACAGCTTTTTGTTGCTCAGAGTCATTGTCAGCTTTGCCTCAAGTGAAAGTTTATACACAGGTTTGTTTTTGTACCAGCTGTCATATTTTAATTTCATCTTTCCTGCAACAAGCTCATATTTCATCCAAGTTTGCAAAACCTGACTGACTGCAAACATGAGTATTCTGTTGTAATTGAAGGAGTTTCACTTGTTTCAGTGCTGCTATGTTTGAATTCCACAGCACAGCTTGAGGCAAGCCTTGGAACCTTCTATGCTCCAACAAGACCACTTCTGGATACAACTATATTGGAATACAGAGATGAAATCAGCAAATATGCAAGAAGATTCTTCCATCACTTGCTCAGGTGAACAATATCTTGGGATTTATTAATGTCAGACTACCTATTTAAGGAACCATCTTATTTAATTAGAATATTCCATAATGTGGCTGTTTTCTAATAGTCCATTTCCTAAGAGAAAAAACAGATCTTCTCTTGATACTCTTTAATATGTTCTTGTTTTCCTTTTAATGAATATATTTGAATATTGTTTAGGGCTTTTACACATCATCAGAATGCTTGAATATAACTTCCCCTTTAATATGAAAGCAAACAATACTAACTATGTAAAGCCAATTTTATTTGTAAAGTCAATTTTATTTATTTTATTTTTATTTTTATTTTTTTGAGAGAGAGGGGGAGGGAGAGGGAGAGAGAGCAACTCACAACTGTGAGATCATGACCTGAGCCAAAATCAAGAGTTGGATGCTTAACTGACTGAGCCACCCAGGTGCCTTAGTAATGTTCCATTTTTTAAGATGAGAGGGATATGCATCAGGGTCCATCAAAAACTATTATTCTTTTAATTAAATATATGTGTTGTATACTTTTATATATCATGTATTTTATAACAGGAAGTAAGAGAATTACCAACTTCATGTACCAAAGGTAAGTATTACATCGAGTTGAATTTTGAGTTTTAATTTCATTTATAATCTGTCATAGTTCTTTTTAACTCTTTCAAACAATTTCATGTATTATCTCCTTTTTTCTCAGATCATACCCTGTAAGAGGGTATCATTATTTGACAAATAAATAAACTATTAAGTGGTACTTTGGTCTCTACCTAACAGTGAAGCCTTTGGAAAACAGTCTTAAAAGTTGAGAAATGTTGATATATTGCATGAATTATGATCTGTAATTGAATCTTGCCTTTTTATCTGAATGATTTTAGCATATTTCAAGAGACTCTTCATCCTGAATGAAGCTGTTTTCTATGTGTGAACAAATGCCAAAAATACTAGGGCGGATGTCACATTTATTTGGACTTCTTTGCTTTGTTCTATATTTTGTTTTCCTTGTTTCTGAATTTACCTCCTGCCTAAAGAGCCCAAAAAAGGTTATTCCTAGAATTAAATGTTTTTCCTTGGGGTATATCAGGATTTTCTCATTTCCTTTTTTGCATGCTTTGCTACTATTTCAGTTATCATGAGTGTTTATTAGTTCTTTTGATAGTAGGCTATATATGACATTATGAAAAAAGCATACATTTAGAAGAAATTAAATGAAATAGTTTAAATTGGAATTATTCTTTTTTTTAATCTGCTGTGAAGTTCTCCTGTTTAGAGGAAGAGGAACAGGCTAAATACTTCTTTGTATTTGTGAAGTGCTAGAATTGCATTACTGCCCGTACCTTGTCTAGCCAGTATATTAATACTCTAAAAAGTGTTATTAGATAATGGAATAAGTCCTAAACAGTAAAGACCATCATAAAGAATTTCAAGTTAAAGATGAAGAAAAGAAGCACCATGCAGAATAGGGATGTACCTAAGGTCACTCATTGGTAAAGCTGACTGAGACTGCCTGAGTCCAGATTGGGCTCTTTTGATAAAGAAGAATAAAATATTACATTGATTTTATTTCATACAGCATATAACGCATGAGGTCATAGTATGCATGCATGAGGACAGTAATCCATTTTGGTTATTAAAATAACTATTTTTGATACAATTTTGTTTTTATCTTGACATTAGAGGAAGTACACGGATCTTTTTGTCATTAGCAAGTATGAAAACTTATCTTGACAGTCTTCCTCCAAATGCAAATGAATCTAAACTTTAAAACTGATTTCTCATGTCCTTTCTTGACACCTTTTTGTATGTGTTCCAAGTGATAATTTTTCATCAAGAAATGTTCCCTGTAAATGTAAATCATGGCTTTTGACATTGAAGATAGAAAGCAGTAGAGGTACAATATTGATAAAACAGCTAAATAAAATGTTTACTATAATAAAATTTTAAATAGATGATGCAGTCTATTTCATAAAATCATTAAGTTGTAAGACGCTTACCTATAGAAGTTGTCTAGAAAAAACTTCAGTGTGTTTTCCTTTATTCCCATACTCACTCTCTTGACACCAGATAGGTGGGAGTTTTTTCCCCCCACACTGACCAATCTCTGACACCTGCAGGGTGTTCTAGAATTCAGTTCAATTCTGACAGTAACCAGAGTTAACACAGACCACACATGTAAAGTTGTCAATCCTACAGGAGTGCCCTTATTTCAGCTGCCATCTGCAAGTAATAAGTCCCCAGGTTACCCACAGCTTCTGTCCAATTTGGCTACAAATTGGAGTTTCCTGCTACCCCCTTCTCAGATTTGATAATTTGCTAGAGCAGCTCACAGAACTCAGAAGAGCAGTTTACTTACTATTGCCAGTATTTTAAAGGATGTTTTATTTATTTATATTAATTAAAAATTTTTTTGAACATTTATTTATTTTTCAGAGAGAGAGTGAGTGAGCGAGCATGAGCAGGGGAGGGGAAGAGAGAGGGAGACACAGAATCTGAAACAGGCTCCAGGCTCTGAGCTGTGAGCACAGAGCCTGACGTGGGGCTCAAACTCATGAACCGTAAGATCATGACCTGAGCAGAAGTCAGATGCTTAGCCTACTGAGTCACCCAGGCACCCCCTTAAAGGATGTTTTAAAGGATACAGGTGAACAGCCAGATGAAGAGATGCATAGGGCAAGTTATAGGAGAAGGGACATGAAGCCTCCATTCCCTCTCCAGGAGTGCCACCCTCCCAGCACTTCCACTTGTTCACCAAGTTTGGAACCTTTTCGAACCCGTTCCTTTTGGATATTTTATGCAGGCTTCATTACGTAGGCATGATTGATTAAATAATTGGCCATTGGTAATAACTCAACCTCCAAAACCTCTCTCCAGCCCCAGGTCTGGGGATAGGGCTGAAATTTCCAATCCTCTAATCATGCGCTTGGTTCCACTGACAACAAGCCCCCATGCTAGGGGCTTTCACAAAGTCTCCTCTGTAATGTAAACTCAGATGTGGTTGAAAGGGGCTTGTTACAAATAATAAAAGACTTTCTTTTAGGAAATTCTAAGGATTTTAGGAATGGGATAAAACCAAATATATATTTCTTACTATAAATCATAATATCACAGAATGCAAATGCAACTGCCTAAGCTAAGTTCAGAAGATGATTGTTCACCTGTCTTCATGAAATAGAATAGTCCTCCAGAACTACTGAATAGGAAGGTATTAACAAGTAAGAACTTTTTATTATAAACAAATAGAAACTATAATAGGAACTCCTAGATATTGATGAAATAAAAGGGCAAATATTTCAAGTGAATGTGCCACATATGAAACTTATTTTACTAACATGGAAACATATTATAAAGGATTAAAAATTAATTGATTCTACTTGTTTATTTCCCCCTCTTAACTATAAGACTACTGTTTTCTGACTCCTGTGGAACAGTATGATTGTGGCACAGAGATAGCGTCATGCTTTTCAATTATTAGAAAATGGTAAGCAAGTAAGTTGGAAAAGGGAACTTTATTGCCTAGAAATAAAAATAAGATGTTTGTGGGGCACCTGGGTGGCTCATCAGTCAGCAAAGTGTCCGATTTCAGCTCAGGTTATAATCTTACGGGTCGTGAGTTCGAGCCTCGAGTCAGGCTCTGTGCTGACAGCTAGAGCCTGGAGCCTGCTTCAGATTCTGTGTCTTCTTTTCTCTCTGCCCCTCTCCCACTTGTGCTCTGTCTCTCTCTCAAAAATAAACATTTAAAAATTTTTAAAAAATACAATGTTTATGAAATATTTCAGGCAGAGTTTAGTGATACCTGTATTTTCCTTTTCACTGCAACAAAAAGTAAGAGGAACTGATGGAAAGAAAGGGAGATGGATAGATATGTAATAAAACAATATTGTAAAATGATGATAGAATCTAGGTGATAAATATATTCATTCAACTTTCCTGGATGTTTGAAAATTTTTACAATAAGGTGTTGGAGGGAAATATATATTATGTTGGGGTCAATATTTATACTTAGAGTTCAGGTAAAAAAGGGTAGTGTTTTGGAAATTATTCTTAGCTTTCAAAATGGTTCTTAGCTTATGCAATACATATATATGATAGGCACAAAAATTATTCTGTGACTAAAGTTGTTAACCAGCTTGGTTTCTAAATGGCTTTTTTGGTTACACTTTTCACTAATGCAGCATACACAGTAAAGTAAGTAAAACCATTATATGAAATCAATTCAAAGAATATGAATACTAAAATAGTTACCTAAGAATATTTAGGAAATAACACAGAATTATTTGCAGAGAAAAACTTCCTGGTCAGATCATCTAAACATGCTGGATAATATATTTAAAATATTTGCTTAAAGCGTGGCAGGAAACTAAGGGAAACACTCAGGTAGAAATGGCAAGGATGCTTGATTCCACTAGAGTAAGCAAACTCAAAGTTTGCCTTGAGGGCATGTGCTGGCACCTGGCAGTGAGGAGCTTAGTTTAGGAAGGCTTGTATATTCAGAGTGTAGGAGACAAAGCCTAGGGCTCAAGCAGAATGGGGAGATGGGATCTGAGATCTCCACATCAATCTATGACCATTGGAGGGTAGCATCTTCTCTGAACTATAAGGAAGGAAGGTATGAAAGGCAAGAAGGAATGGTGGGCAAAATATAATACTAAACTTGTAGGAACATAAAAATCAATAGTATAAAACATAAACACTAACATCTAATTCAAGGAATTAAAAATTAAGATAAAATTCTGGGCAATAACAGTATATAAATCAGAAGATGAGTGAAGAAGTTAAAGTATTCTAAAGTCTTTATGCTTTTCAAGAAGAAGATAGAGATACTACTAATACTAGGTTTTATTTATTTTTTTTAATTTATTTATTTTTAATCTTCATTTATTTTGAGAGAGAGAGAGAGCGCATGAGCAGGGAAAGAACAGAGAGAGAAGGAGACACAGAATCCGAAGCAGGTTCCAGGCTCTGAGCTGCCAGCACAGAGCATGATGCGGGACTTGAACCCATGAACTGCGA